TTTCCTTAATTACTATAATTATCCAAAGTCTATTATAATTATTTCATCATCAAAGCATAAAAAAAAGCTTAATTTCTTTCATCAATTTCTATTTTTTTTCTCTAAAACATAAAAAGAAAACTTATATTTAATTATTGTTAATATGTTTCACCGCAATTGTACTTTTCTTTACTAAAAACTTATTTATATTCACAACATTATACATTAATTACAAACGTAATTGCGATACAAATATAAAAGAAAAAACACACACACACACAGCAAGAAAGTTTTTCTGCAATTGAATGAAAATGTAAAATCTTTCGTTTCGTTGCAAAAATTCGCTCAAAACTTTCTCGCAACAATTACACCATTAATAACAATTCCAAACGCATTTCTTACTTTAAGAAATAATGAATAACAACAAGAATAACAAAATAAATCTGTATACATTTTTTGTTCTATATTTCACTTTAATTTATTCCATTAGAATACATTTCATTAAAATTACTTTTATCCTCATTTATGCTTATTTTAGATACAATTATTGTAATATTAACAAGAAAAACACTACAAAATATCTAAAAATAAACAATTTACAATAGCAATAAATTATGTTTTCATCAATTAATCCGGTTTCAAAAAGTCCGGGATATTGCCGGAATCCGTACTATACGAGGTATTTCTATATTTCCATTTGAATACACGTATTATTCTAATTTGAAACATATTAAGAAAACAGTAAGAAACAATATTATTCATCTATTTCTATATAGTTCCTAGATTAGTTCGGTTTCAAACAGTCCGGGATATTCCCGGAACCCGTACTATACGAGGTATTTCAATATTTCCATCTGAATACACTTATCATTCTAATTTGAAACATATTAAGAAAACAGTAAGAAATAATATTATTCATCTATTTCTATATAGTTCTTTGATTAGTACGGTTTCAAACAGTTTGTCATATTGCCGGAACCTGTACTATACGAAATATTTCCATCTGAATACACGTATTATTCTAATTTGCAACATACTAAGAACATTACGAAATAATATTATTCATCTATTTCTATATAGTTCCTCGATTAGCCCTGTTTCAAACAATCCGGCATATTGCCGGAACCCGTACTATACGAGGTGTTTGTATATTTCCATTTGAATACACGTATTATTCTAATTTAAAACATAATAAGAAAACAGTAAGAAATAATATTATTCATCTATTTCTATACAGTCCGTGATATTGCCTGAACCCGTACTATAAGAGGTATTTCTATATTTCCATTTGAATACACGTATTATTCAAATTAGAAACATACTAAGAAAACAGTATGAAATAATATTTTTCATCTATTTTCATCCTTCTTTAAATATAAAGACTCTATTGATAGATAAAAATAAGACTCGGACAAGAAAAATAACTTGATTGATTGCGCTCATACCAAAATAAGACGGTCGTCCTTAAATTGCCGCTCAGGAATTAACAGAAATAGAAAACGTCCGAGGAGTGCGCCATTCCTTATGTTTCATTGCATTCATTTGTCACGATTACTTTACATACATACATACCAACAACAACAACTGAAAGAGCCATAGATCATAAGAATTATGTCACGGCGTTTAATCCAATATCCTTATTTATACCATCCGTTTTGTTATTCGTGCAGCCGTGATGAGTTATATCACATTGTGGTTTAGAATAATAGGTGAATTTGATTTTGACGAGAATATGCTGTCACAAGAAGACTGTTAATCATGATTAAAGGGGTTTGGATACTAATTATAAACGGTCTTAATTAGAAAATATATGTTGTAAATATAAGGAGAAGCTTGATTAATATTACAAATTTGTTAGTTTAATTAAAATTAATGAAATTATTAATTAGCATTGATAAAATAATGTACAGTACAACCTGTTTTTGGGCGGTCCTTTTTTATGCGTTTTTTTTGTGCGGTATATGAAATCCAACCAATTCCAACGGCGTTGCCACCAATTGTAATGTTTTCTATCAGTGTACATATGTACAGCCTGCTCAAACAATTTTGTTAGTCGATTTTGAACCAATTCATTACAAGAAGATGCACGTTTTGGATTAACAAGCAGTAGCAGTGAATTATATATGTGCATTTTGAAAGTTTCTCCAAATTATATGTTTTCGAATATTTTTTTTGTGCGATTTCTTTTATGCGGTTCCTGTCTACTGCACAAAAAAGATTTTACTGTATAAATACTGATTTTGACTGATTTTACTTAACAAAAACATGTTCGTCAATCTTCGGTTTAGTGAAGTATTTGTCTTCGGTAAATTGGACGAAGAATGACTCAGAGGAAACAATAAAATTCCAACCATAATACCTAAATCTTATCAATGATAAAGTAAAGAAAAAAAGGGTTTAAAGTGTCCAAAAGTATTCGTTGTATTTTGAGAAATCATCAATATTAAGTTGCAAAAAGAAAAGTATAATATTCCTTTTTTTGTTTTCAATTGAATTATTATATATTTGTTAGAATTGTTAAATTTTAATTAAATTGGTCGAAAAGATTAATAAATGTTTGTAATAATTATAATTAAACTATAAAAAAAATATCTAAAAGTTTAAAACTGTAATTTGTTTTCACGTTTTATTTGAATCTAAAGAATAATTTAATTTAAAGCATGTAATTGAATGCGCTTTTGAGAATTAGTGAGTTAAACGATTATCCGTTAAGCGGACGACTTTGTAGTAATTAGCGCGCATACATCAATCATCATTATCAAACTCTGTCGAAGAAAAGAGGAAAGAACAATAATGCATACAGTATATAAATTATACCTAAAAATAGATATTATTGATTTTATTTGTGTTGTTCATATTTTAAGAGACTCATTTCCTAAACTTTGTTTTATTAAATTAATAATTATATAAAAAAAATCTTTGTTGAATAGTTGCAATCAATAAATTATGTAATAAAAATTGTAAGTAAAAGAAATTTATTTGAAAAAAATACAATTTTAAAACGTATTTCTTGAATTTTTATTACACATTTAACAAAAGTTAAGTTCATATTTTAGATGAAGCTTTAAACTATGTTTCATTAAATTAATAATTTTACAATAAAAAAACTTTGTTGAATAGTTTCAATCAATAAATTGTGTAATAGAAATGGTAACTAAAAGAAATTTATTTGAAGAGAAAAGAGAAAATTGTCATTACATAAATAATTATAAATAATTTCATACAATATTGATTAATAATTAAAATTTAATGAAAATAAATCAATTACAAATGTATTCACAATAAAATAAACTTTTATATGATAAAAACCGAAAAGCTGAAGTGTTTAGAAAAAAAAGTAATTATAAAGTATAAAATAATGATAGTTTTTCTTAAGCTAATTTTATTTATTAGCAGAAAAAATACAAAATTTTGTAAATACAATTGAAGTAATGTGTTGAATCATGAAGTACAGGTATCTCCCGGTTGTTCGTAAGTCGAATTTGTTCGTAAGTCGGGGGAATTTTAAAAATTTTAAAATATACTATAACCATGGTAAAGTGTGCTAATATCATGGTTTTTACTTTTATATATGTTAAATTTATATCATCTTGTAACAAGTTAGAACTTTTAGAATTTTGTTCGTAAGTCCGGGAGTTCGTAAGTCGAGGTTACCTGTATTATAATTTATTGGTATAAAATGATTAAATATGTAATCTCAGTATAATTTATTAAGAATTTGTGAAGTTTGATAGTAAAACTTACTAATCTTATTACAATTAAATAAAGTAGTTAAAACTTAATATTTATTGTTCCTATTTGTGCCACTTAAATAAGTATGAAAAGTAATGCAAACATTTGCAAGTAAAACAGATATATTAAAGTATTACAAAAGAATCTAAATTTCTTCATAATTATATTGATTAAAGGTAATAATTTGATGTTTTTATTACACTAATTGATTTATTAGTAGAAATAATAAAAAATTTCTATATAAAATTGAAGTAATGTGTTGAATTATGATGAATTATAATTTATTGGTATAAAATGTATTCTCAGTACAATTTATAAAGAACTTGTGAAATTTGATAATAAAACTTATTAATATTAACTCAATTAAGAAATGCAGTTAAAAATTAATATTTATTGTTCATTTATTTGCAAGTAAAAACTAAATTAAAGTAATGAAAAGAATGTAAATTTCTTAGTAATAATATTGATTATTAATAATAATTTAATGTTTCTATTATACCAATAAATTTATTAGCAAATTAATACAAAATTTTTATATAAAATTGAAGTAATGTGTTGAATTATGAATAGATTATTGGTTTAAAATGATTAAATATGTGTTGCTATTTATGTCACTAAAATAACTGTGAAAAGTAATGCAAACATTTGCAAGTAAAGATATTAAAAGATTGATAAAAACTGTAAATTTTTATTAATTATATTGATTAATGATAATAATGTAATGTTTCTATTACACTAATAGAATTATTGGCAGAAAAGTTATATATAAAATTGAAGTAATGTGTTGAATTATAATTTATTGGTAATAAATGATAAATCATTTAAATTATCAATAAATTTTAGTAAAAAATTGTAAAATTTGGTAAAGTATCAAAAGATTCACAAAACAAATAAAATATAATGAAATAGTTATGATTAATCAATGAAATATATATTTTTAATTTGTGAAATTTGCTAATGACACTTACTATAAGTAATTAATTAACGTAGTAAAAACTTTTAATTTATTGCTTCTATTTATGGCACTAAATAAAGTGTTAAAGTTAACGCAAAAATTTTGCAAAGAAAATTCTGAGAAATGTGGTGTGAAGTCGTTGATGTGCAGAAGCCGAATGAGCTACGATCCTCGACGGACGGGTAGCGCGTTATTTTTTTTTCTATTTCATGTCATTCTTCAACCATCATCTTCTACCTCTTTTTTTTTTCCTACGAAGTGAACAAGTGTATGCGATTGGTGGTGTGCCGCGTTCGAAAAAAAAAGAAGAAAAAAAAACCCTCCTAGGAAGAAAGAAGGCGAACGCAACAAACGAGCCGAGCTCCCAGACAATCTTCCGTTACCTGATGACCCGGAGAGGGCCGCTATAAATCCACCAACTAGCCGAAGAAGTCCTCAGTATATTGTTGATTAGTAGTGTGCAAGTTCATAGCAGTGAGAGTCCAGTTTTATCCCACATTACAACAAACAGATTAATGCATACACACGGACTTACGTAACACGTCTCGAAGCATAACCAACAGCGAGAACCAGACAATAATCAACATCATCGATCCAGATTGATTCCCAGAAAGAATAACAACAAAAAAGCAGGTATTGTTCATTATATTCCATCTATTCACATTACGATTTTCACCGCTCTTTCCATCATCAATTACAATCTGCAAAAAAAATAAATAAAGAAAGCATCCATCCTGGAATTACGTATGCATGCCTATTACATTTCGAAAGGAGGATGAGACTTTCTTCTTCTCCGATTTTTCCTCAACCAAAGAGCATAGGGTAAAAGCGGAGGTAAAAGCAATTTATACCTGTTCAAACTTTATTTTATTTCTTTATCAATTCAAAAGTTGCTTTTGGAAATCTCTTCCGTTCCCAATATACAAACACTCGTTCACACAATCGCGTTCCAAATTGGACCAATTAAAGAAGATATTGTTGTTTGTTATATAACGCTTCCCATCGAGCAATTAAAAATCGTGACAAAGAAATTGGTATATTCATCATTCAATTTGCACGAATCTTGCATGTTTTTTTTTTAACAAAGAGAAATAATGAATTCGTTATTATTATCTGAAACGGAAAATTAGACCGAATTTACGTAACGAGTCGGATTTTTCATCGTGCCTCCGCTATATACCGGTTTCTTTCAAATATTTGGTGTACGTTCTTGGAATGCGCGATGAGCTCCAATTCTTTAAAATTTCCTTGTTTCTTTCTTCCTTTCGGTGACTTCTTTCTTTTTAAATGTATATATATATATGGTAACTGACCTATTTCACCGGTCGACTGTTGTCCTCGAATACGGAAAATTCAGTTAGTTAGTGCCGTTTTTTTTTGTTTGTTCACATTCTATTTTCCGTTTCCATCGCAAATAGATCGATATTACTCGATGCTTACGTTTTTCCGGGAAAAACTTAAGCACTGGCATCCGCTCATTACCCAACCATTTCCATACTTTATAATTCAAGTGGAAAACTTCTAAAAATAAATATTTTCAATTACACAAATCAATATTTCATAATTTATAAATACTATAAAAGTATAAAACAAAGTAAAATTTTAATAAATTTACACAAATTTACATATTAAATTTATATAAAAACCAACTAAAACGTATTCATTTATTGAATTATAAAAATAATCGATAATATACAACAGTTTTCAACTTTCAAATAAAATCAAATCAATAGAAAAAACACAACTAGAGATTAAATTCTAAAAATGTTCTAATAGAAAATTACTTTATTTTGTCCAAATAAATACAAGGATTTATGTAATATTAAAAAAAAAACAGTAAAATTCTTCAATAGAAATAAATTACAATTATTTTCTAATTAAATTTAATTAAGCAATATTAAATGTTTATACATATTAATTCATTACTAAAAAGGCATAAAAACGATTTTTATTAACAAAATTGTTATATTTAGTTTATGTAAAGATTAAATCATAAATGTTTGTAAATAAATTATGAATTCATTGCGATGAAAATGATAATTTTATTTATAGTAGAAATATGTTAATAAATAGAAAAAAAAAGTACAAAAATATAACTGTAAAAGTAAACAATAAAATGAGTAATAATACTTTTAACCCAAATTTTAGAATTTTATAGTTTACATGAACCTAAATTTCCAAGTTTATCATAAAATCAGATTTTATAACATATTCAGTTTATATTTAATATGTTAAAGAATTGAAAGATTTAGATTTTAAACAAAATATGTAATTAATTAACAAAAAATAATTGTTTTATAATTCATTAAGTTTTACATGAATCTTTTCTACATTTATAAATTAAATAAATAAGCCAGTAAATTAAATATATAGCCAGTAAGTAATCATCGAAATATTTAAAAACTAAAATTATCTCTATAACTATTAAATTGTCTTTTTTAAAGTTGTCTGTAAAAACTAAGATCTTGTCTATAATTACTAAAAAAATGTTTTTCAAAGACGTCTGTATCTACTAAGATCAAGCCTATTAAGAAATCATGAATTAAACTGTTGAAATACGTTTATAATAAATTGGGATTATGATAAATATGAACTTAATGAAGTTTTTACTAAGATCAAGTCTATAACTATTAAGCAATTGACTTTTTAAATAAATATTTAACAACGAAAATCATATCTATTACTATTAAGCAATTAACTTTTTAAAGTTGTCTTTAAAAGCTAAGATCTTATCTATAACATCTAAGCAATTGATATTTCAAAGTGTAAGAAATCATGAATTCAACTGTTGAAATGCGTTTATAGAAAATTGGGATTTTGATAAATGTGAAGTTAATGAGAATTTAAAAAAACATCGAAATTTCTAATTATAATTTTGTTAATTAAAGCTGAATGCAAATGCATTTAATTAGCAATTAAAATGAACATATTGTTGATTGTTTTTGTAACACTTTCTTAAAGTAAATTAAGAATTAAATAAACTTAATTTATTGTTCAAAAAATATAGTAATTTTATGAATTGAGAACATAATTTTGTCAAAAATTTCTTTAATTTAGAATTTAATGAAAAATATCAAATAAAATTAAAATATTTTATAAATTTGTAATAATACAAGTCTAAAATAATGAAAAACGAAACTAAATAGTTTTGGGAAATCATATATTATATAATTGACAAAATGAATATAATAATTATGGAAGAAAGTTGCAGGTATAAACAATGTCGATAATGTCTAATAGATTTCAGTATATTCTCCATGAGAAAGTGTTCGATAATTGAATGTTATGAATGTCGTCTTGAGAATATGATGAATTCAAGCGTTTCCTGGAACAAGTTCTTCGTTTCATCACTTTTATGTTCTTTTTTTTTCTTCTTCATACAACTACAAAACGTAAAAATAAAAGCAAAAACTATTCAGAAAGAAAATATAAAGAAGAGCATGAATATAATTTCGAGAGATGAAGGATGATGGGAAGTCTTTTTTCTTTCCTCTCGGCACCAACAAAAGGAATTTCTGCACCGTTAGACCGCGCGCATAAAACTTTTCTCCCTTCCCCACCATTATTTTCAACATCATTTCTCAAGTGTAATCATTTTTTTTAAAATTTTACATTTTATAAATACAAGTCTTCCTCTCGCATCGCATCTTCTCGGTAATATCATGTGCATATAGATAAATTAAAGAGAACTTTGCATATTTATTTATTACGCGGAGATGTTGTTTTCTCCCAGCAGGAAACGCTTCGAACCGTACGTTCTTTTTTTTTTGCCGACACCACGACTTAATCAAAATTTATTACCGCTTAATAATTTAATTAAACTTGAATCCTCTGCACCGAGAGAAAGAAAATAAAATAAGAATTCGAAGAAGAATGAATGAGAGAAAAGAAACGTTAATTTGAATAATCTTATGGATTCATCCGATCCGATCGGATCTTCATAATTGCAGTCGACCAATTATGATGATAGGTTTTTCGATAGCCGCAATTAGTCTTCCGAGTAATTACATTCGATTTACTCGATCTCTTAATCAATTCAAACTGGTATGGACACAATCATCTGTTTCTGTCAAATCTCTAAAAATATCTTATTTCTCACCATAAATATCTTGAATAATCAATCAATAATTTATAAATAAACAATTTTATAAAGAAATTTATAAATTAAATTGTAATTCTGTTGTAACAAATGCTAATTCTATAACAACGTATATTAGGTTTGTGGCTATGACAACTCTTAAATCCAAAGCAATTGAGATCAAGTATTTTTTCAAAGACCTTTGTATCTATTAATATCAAGTCTATACTTAATAGTTATAGTTTTAAAGAAATATTTAACAACTGAAATCATCTCTATAACAATTAAGCAATTGTTTTTTTAAAATTGTGTTTAACACCTAAGATCTTGTCTATAATTACTAAAAAATGTTTTTCAAAGACATCTGTATCTACTAAAATCATGCCTATAATTATTAAGCAATTGCTTCCCTAAAGTTGTTTTCAATAACTAAGATCGTGTCTATACTACTAGACAATTGGTTTTCAAAGATTACAGACGTCTACTAAGATCAAGTCTACATCTATTAAGCAATCATCTTTTTAAAGAAATGCTTAATAACTAAAATCATCTCCATAACTATTAAGCAATTGGCTTTTTACAGTTGTCTTTAACATTTAAGATCTTATCTATAACTACTAAGCAATTGTTTTTCAAAGACATCTGTATTTACTAAGATCAAGTCTACAACTATTAAGCAATAGAAATCTATACCAAGTAAACAATATTTTAAAAGTTTATTACGGTTTATAACAATAATAACACATCCTTGGTAACTAGAATAAACTACATAACAACAAACAATATGAGTGGATTTCTTAGTAACTATAGTAACGTTAATAATAACAAAGAGAAGATCGACAATAATCAACTTAAAAATCTGTCAACACTTCAAATAATAAAATCAGACACGTAACTTTGAGTAAATAAATAATATTTAAAATAAATGTAATTGAAATCATACCATTTTTTCTAATTTAAATTAAATAGTTAATAGCTTAATAATTCTTAAATAAAACTACTATCGTAATAATTATAAAGTATTTTTAGTTATGTTCATAATAAGTAAATAGCATCCTATCTTAATAACTTAAGGTCTGCAGCAGCAATAAGGCTTCTTTTACTATTGAGAGAGCAGCCATAAAAAAAGATCCTGACAGCATCCTTATGACCCCGTCATTGTGTGCATAGCAACACTGAGACGTCCTTGGTAACTGGGGTTACGTCCATAACAATCGAAAAGCATCCTTAACAACCGACAAAGGGTCCATAATAATCACAAAGTTAATTGACAAAATTGTATTAAAATTAATTTATTAGTTACTTTACAATTTTTATTGATTCCATTTGGTTTAAAAAAATACTTTAATATTTGTCCTACTTATATAAATTCCAATATTTGCATTTCTCACGTAAAAACTTCGAAACTGTTTTGAAGAAATTTTATTTGTATTTTTAAAAATAAAGTAAAGTCTGCAAATAATTTCTAAGATGTTGTGACTTATACAACTTGATTACACTTATATAAGAAATTATTACAAACTTTTTAAATTTATTTATAATAATTTTATTATTA